AATACTATTATCGTAGCGTCAGAGTTATACAACGCTCGACATCACGTTTTTATTGAAACTCGAAAAGTATCTATCCATTGTAATAGATTTTGTTACTGTTTCCCTGTAAAACAAAATGAATATGCAGAATATCATTTCGGCGTTGAGTGATCTGGTTGCAACTAATTCGATCGTTACACAACAGTCTCCAGTAACATTACAAGAGCGACAAATGGCGGAACATCTTGCCGATACTGTTAAATTTATGAGTAGTGGACAAAAAGTTGATTACGTTGAAGAAACAACTTTGGATTTCGGTCGTTATACCGACGATGAAGACAGTGAAGAGGAGGAAGAATTCATGGTGAACGAGAAAGAAAGTGAAGAAATGGATGAAGATTGGCACGACAAAGAGTTAGCTTTGGAAAAATATAATTTAAAAAGCTTTTCAGAAGAGTTTATGCGTCACGTTATCGATTTCGTTGATCACGCAGGACCAGGAAGTAGACATGGCAGATCTTGGAAAGCCATTCATCACCGATTTCGAACAATCCCAGACAAAAGTTATATTTCACGTTTTCGAAAATATTTGGAACATCATGGGACGAAGCGACAAAAGACTCAAGATCTGGATAGTTTGGTTTATAAAAAGTTCGTTGATGCCAGACAAAAGAATCTCGTTGTTCATGATTTGGATATCCAGCGATGGGGTTTAAAAATAGCTAAAGAAGTAAAGTTCGACGACTTTCATGCGTCTCATGGTTGAGTGGAGAATTTTAAAAATCGTCATACACCTCCGGACAAAAGTCCCTTCCCTCCTTCATTTGTTTTTTATCTAAAGCCATTGATATTGTATCGAGAATTTATCATCGAATGGGGTATTTCTCCAATGAAATTTGTTTCTTCCTCCTATTCGCTGATCGAAATTATCCAATTATAAGTAACAAATACTGATCTATTAAATAGGTGGAGATATGTAAGAATATCATCTTTCTGAATCATTTTTTCACAAGACAACATCATGTCTCTCTCTCTATCACAACGTTATGAAATTGTGTTTCTTAAGCTTCATTCAAATCATTTAAAATGACACCTCTATTTCATTATAAATTCAATATCAAACATAATATAACAGAAAATGAAAGTGGGGGGGGAAGAGACTTTTGTCCACAGGTGTAGATTAGCTTCTCTGAAAATTACAAACTTCGTTTCTCATCATCAAGTCGAAGATCGGGAAATTATAGAAAAGTCAAAGGAAAGTTTTATTTTAGAGTTTAGTAAAGTGTCATCTCACTTCAAACCATCTGAAATTTTTAACACAGATCAAACAGGTGTCGAAAAAGAATTGCACTCAAATCGTACAATCTCTTTCGTTGGTGAAAAAAGGACTTTTGCAGCTGTGCAGTCGAAAAATGCTACAACGCACTCTTACACTTTACAGCCAACTATTTCATTAGATGGGCGACTCTTAAAACGATTTATTTATGTTTGCAAGAGCAGGGAGGTTAGTTTAACGCTAGTCGAACTGTTTTAATCTGCTGTCGCTTGTTCTTCTTCTATAGGAAAAATGGGAGAGCAAGTAAAGAGACACCTATTTCAGCCAAAAAATGTCATTATAACCTGTTCGACGTCGGGCAAACTCACTACCACCTTGATTGAACATTGGCGAGATAACTGTTTTCTTCCACTGGTTGGTCCTAAATGTTTGCTGCTATCAGACAGTTACCCTGGGCAAAGTCGCGAAGAACTCTATCTACCTGAAAATTGCGGTGGTAAGAAGGTCACACGTTTACAAATACCACAAAATACAACTGACGACTTACAGCCACTAGACTGTTATTTTAACAGGCAGATTAAAAATTTCCTGAAAGCGTGTTATCATCGTGTAGCGCTAGATGAGCTAGATATACACTTACACGAACGAAATAACATCATACGTTTAGTAAGTTTAATGCACCATCAATTAAGCGCTGATGTATTCACACCAATGATTAAATACGCCTGGTTCTCCAGTAGTTTATTACGTGAAGATCCTTCTCCATTTGTCAACGTCAATCAAGTTTGTTTTCCGAGTTCTGAAACTCATATGGAGTGTGAAGAAAATCACTGTGGTGAATCTATTTTTATAACTTGTGCTCGATGTTCGATGAAATTGTGTTTTCAACACTTTTTCATCAGTTATCATTTCCATTGAAAACACAGCAAATATTTTTACGAACCATGGTTCCGTGATACTACTTCATTGCTCTCTTTGTCACAAATTACTAACAACATATGTGCAAAACAAAACAAAAAATAAACAGTAGTTTTTTTCATATTGATAAATTGTATAAGAATATTATCGTTTTTTCTCTTTTTTTTAAAAGTTTCATACGCTGAAAACTCGCTTAGAACCTCGCTTTGAGTCTTAAAAAGTTCTTTTCTCTAAGTGTGAGAACGTGCCTTTCTATCAGGACAAGTCAAAAGAATTTTTTGATGAAAATGGTTTTTCATCGGAAAAAACCATTTTCAGTGAAAGTGGCTTTTTGGATGAAAACCAAGATGGTTAAAAAACTAGCCTTTAAACCGAGAGCGGGCAAAAACCATTGTGATATTCAGAATCAGCACGTTCGATTACCACTTGTCAACTGAGTTTCAGCCCAAAAGCGGGGGGCAGTTGGTGGCCTTCCCTCGTCAGTACAACTTCATCTCATGTAATCAAGAAAAGCGCGATATTATTCTTCCATGCTTTATTATTTGATTTCTTTTTTGTTGAGTACTACTTCGTCAGATGAAACGTACAACAGCTTGTGATATTTCTAATGCGTCTATATTTACATCATTGACCTGTTTAGATGGCTATGTAGTTCACAAACAAAATCACAAAAAATATTTCGAACAAAAATCACCATTACTCTTTTCTCGTTTGGGTTCAAGATCAATCTATTGTTCGAATTGTTAAATACTTAGGAAAAACCCCATCATGTTGCTTATACAATCAATTAAAAGAATCTTTGAAAAGTGGCAACGGTGCATCGATCACTTCTTTACGTGAACAAAATGGACAATTTGCGTGTACAAGTTCAACAAAAATAATTGAAAAAAACTTGGAGTTTCGGCCAGAATGTATAAAAACAACAAGTATCAATAAACTACAAGCTTGTCATATCAATCAGATGTGTACAGTTGAAGTAAAAATTTGTCAACTTGCTGATCCAATTGCAATTGCAATTGAACAAAACGAATTCAAACGCATTCAGAAACTAAAAAAAAACAGCTGTCATTGGGGATTCAACTGGAGCTTTAGAATTGAATTTATGGGAAAATCAATTTGATCAAATAACGTTAGGAAGCTCTTATCATATTCGTTTATTAAAGATACGTACTTTTAATAATCAAATTTCTTTGACTGCAACATCGGATACATCGTACGTATTTGTTGCTAATACTTTAAATCAAGACAGTCATTTCCTGTTCATTGCAGCTTTATACAAATTGATAATCTCGAGCAAGTTGATGAAGAAATCGATAACATTATAAACTCATGTAAAACAGACAAAGGTCAAATTCTCTTCGTGGAACCAATTGACAATCAATACAAATGCCAAGGTTGTGGCGGTACAAATCTTACCGAGAACGAGAATACAATATCGTGCAGCAGCGATTGTCGATCTCGCTTGTTGAAAGACAAAACGACCGAAAGTCTTTACATGAAAGTTAAAATCGTCACATATGCGAATGAAGAATACAATCTGAAAACTAGTCAATCGACCATATTCGCATTCTTGAACAAAACTAGTGCCTTAAAGACCGATGCCAAAGAATCGACCGATCTCGAAGAAAATATCTATCTTATCGTAGGATTGAACGTTCAGTTTACTTATGATTACCACACTGGTGTTATCAATAATTTTGAAAATCTGAATCAAAACCAATTACAGGATCAAAGTAAGACTTATTTTATTTTGTTGACTTAACCATTTCCATTTACGTTTACAATTGTTTAGATCATCTATCTACATGACCGATTGTTTTACTTCTCATCAAATACTAGACAGGAAAAGAATTCGAATGGACGTATCAAAATATTGACCAGATAGTATATTTTATCTGAACTTATCAGACAATAAATAAGCATAATTGTGTTTTTATCTAACAGACTCTGCTATCATCTTCATAAATGTCTAGAGACTGCTATGAACGTAAAAAAAAACAATTCATTTTAGCTTTCTAAACCAATAAGTAACTCCTATAAAAACTATCCTATTTGATGCACAGATTGATTCTATGTCGGTGTTCATAATCTTGTTGATGAAACAACATTTGACAGAACGTTCTCTGGATGTTGAGTAGACTTCTTCATCCAACCAAAAAAGCACACACAATATTCATGAACTTTATCACATAAACAAAACTCTAATCATTTCACCTACGATGATATTATCTGCCCAATTCATTCCTTTCTATCGATCGACTTATTTGCAGTCACATCTACACCAAGTTTCCGCTTTTTTCTCTTACAATGATATGAATCATTGAACATAAGAAAGAAACTTTTTATACTTATCAAACGAATACATTTTTGACTTCGAAAGACTATGAAAGAACATAAGAAATGTGAGTTCCACATTTTAGCCCCAAAGGGGCTGCGCTGACAAGCTTTTTTAAAGTATATTTTCAACGAAGGAAAGACATGTTGCACCTGTGATACATTCAATTCGTCATTTTCATTCATGCATTAGAAACTATGGCCCGATGTTCAATTATTCAACATTTTCTTTCGAATCTACGATGGGTTTGTTTTTAGTCTTTTCTCTACCTTATCGATTTGATTTTAAACAAGGTGAAAGTGATTTCATCGGCAGATACTGTAGATGTCGAAGGAAAAAGGTTCACATGCAAAAATATTTTGAAAGGTACGGTACTACTTGATTCTACATCCATTATTGGACCATCTCAAATTATACAAAAACTTGCCTTTTGACCACTATTTGTTGATAACATGCCAGTATTGAATTCTTTTCTTTTTTGTCAATATCCTAATTTGAAAGAATGTTCTTAACCTTCATTACTATTATAAGTCAACTTTTATTGCTCGAAAGAAATATTACACCATTGTTTTTAGCTATTGAAATCGCTTTTACTGGTAGCCTAATATTGCACGAATACAATTATTTTACAAATAACGATCAAACCAGATCATTATTATGATGAAATGCATTTTAACGCTTCTTTGTACATTACCTCATGATAAAAAGGCATTTTAATGAGCATTTTTTCATTATTAATTGTATAGGGGAGGGAACAAT